CATGCTGCAGCAAAACCTTGGTGACCTGGTGGAAATATAAAATGTTAAACTGTGCAGGCTGGTTGCTGCTTTTTTTTTTTTTTTCCTCCCATCTTTTTTTCCAATTTGAAGTGTTAGACGTCTGCATGGTCTGAGATGAAGAGGAATGCTTTGTAAAGACCAGCTGTCAGAGAGCACACACACAAACACACAAGTTTACCAGCAGCTCTCTACAATAACATAGGAATGGCCCCCTCCCATATACGTGCTAGGTCCTAATGCACACACATACACACACACACACACACACACACACACAAAGGCACGTACGCTTGATGGCTATCATTAGATTGATGCCACCTGACACTTAGTTAGTACTGGAATGTGATGGAAGGGAGGGGTGGTGGGCAGCTGCCGACTCAGGAGCACCGGACCTGATCTCCGCGCTTCTGGGACGCTCTGTTCAAAAACTCACACCCTTCCTTTTTTTCCCCTTAGCAACGCCTGTATCAGACTGGAAAGACACTTGCAGCCTAGAGCTTATGCCAGTTATCCTGTAATGTATGTGATGGGCAGAGGGTCTGGTTATTGCTCAAGACCAAGACTGTATCCATCTGTTGTCTGAATTGTGCCATATGCTGGAATGCACCACTTGGCTCATTCTGGTCAGAGGAGTCCCTTCATAGTCCTAACCCTGCAATTAGCTTCCCTCTGCCTACCCCAGTTTGTCTTTCAATGTGTGAACTTGTACTGCAGCTCCTCTGAAATCAACCAAGACATAACAATAACAAAGGCTCAGATTTCGCTGTCCTGTAATAAGGAGAGTGAAATGCTGAGAACCAGTATTAAAAGCATTTTATGAATGTTTATATTCTTTAAACATTTAGTCAGTAATAATTGGGGAAACTACTATAAATAACTGCTATAACTACTATACCAGTATAGTAAGTTTGTGCACTTTAAGACAGTTGTTGGCTCATTTTTTCAGCTAAAACTCCAGTGCGGTTTGATGGTCAGAGAGTAAGTAAAGAATAAATATAAAATCTAATTCAAACAGTTACTTGGTATATGTGAACTTTAGAACCTCTTACTGTACACTGAGCTCCATGGATCTTACAAGATTGCTGATGCAATTTTCTGGCGAATTGACTGGTTAGTAGACATTTATTTTGTACCTGTAAGTCTGCATAAGTTACCATAGCAATGTACCCCGTTTTAAAAGTTGACCACTTTCACAGCACTGAAAACACAGTATTAGTAATGGAGTTAGCTGGTTAAGCCCAAATTCTACTTCATATTATGACCCTCTGGACATATACATAATACAGTAGCAACATGTCCATAATAGCCTTTATAATAGGTATTACTACTGATTAAATAAATTAAGCTAATTATTTCTGGTTATTTTTGGTTAAACTCAATAGGAATGGCCAAAATTGTTCAGGAGTTCTGGGCACTTTTTGCCAAACAGAAGTAACCAGAAGTCAATAGGAATGGCTAAATTTGCCCAGGATTTTCTTTCTCAGTTCAGTTTTTGTTCTCACGCACCTATTGTTAAAACTTGAGTGTGTTAAGAAACGTCCACAGCATTTTATCTTTCCAGTAAATGCGTAGATATGTTTTTCCAGCACTAATCATTGTCGTCATGGTGTCAGAACTTCTTCAGTGGCATGATAAGGTATCTTTGATGGTCTCACTTTAGTATGGCGTTGGCGGTTGGGTCTATGGGTGTGAAAAAGAGGAGACGTTTCCCTCTGTGTCATGTTTGTGTATGTCCGTGCAGATGTGCGTTCATGGCCCTGGCAGGCCTGTGTCTCTCTGTTTGGCTAACCCCTCCTACGCATGTTGCTCCAACACTGGCCTTTCTCAACCTGCAGCCCACTGGAAATGGCCATGAATGAACACATTCTCTCACTTTCTGCCTGTTTGCAATCTTACCCACTGTTTCACTCCCTCACTTTACCAGAGCTCACGGTGACTTTCATGTCTTTCTCACCCCACTTATCTTCTATTGAACACATACACTGAAATCAGGCCATAAATCAAATAATGATCATCTACACAGTCACATTTCCTTATAAACTCTAACCACTTAGTGAGTTATTTGTTCCTACTTAACAGACAACATGCAAAACCGCATATGTGAGCAAGTTTACAATGGCACAAAAAGTGTACTTAAAGTATGAAAAGACACTGAGAAACTCTGTGGATTTCATGAATCTTTTTTTTTTTAGAAGAAGCTAATATAGTGAGTTTATCAAATATCTTACAAATTACAAGTTATGTAACTACATTGATGTAATAATCCTGAGAATTTAATATTGCTATAACAGGATATTCTTGTCTACACTGGTTAAAAAATAGTAAAGGTACAATTACCGGAGTATAAATGGCGATGCAAAGCTGAATAGCTGACACCTTTTCATACTTTGCACTGTATACAGATTATAATAGGAAACTTGCTGTAAAAAGCACAACACTTATCCAAATCTGACTGTCTTTAGTCTTGACTCTGGGCTAGAATAGAATGTAAAGCTCTATATCATTAGTCCCTCCTACACTAAATACATACAGGTACTATGCTATTTAAACAAAATTAAATAGAAAAGAATGAATGTAAATGAGTCCTTATACTAAAGAGGTGCTAGATGAAACGTTCAAATATGCTTCTTGCTAACATTTGGTCATGACTTTCTCTTCTTTTTCCCCCTCCTATGTTTTTAAGATGAATCAGTTTTTAACCATTTTGTCTCTGTACTCACTGTGCCTTGTGTTCTCACCTAACACTACAGTGCAGCTTTTTAACGTGTGTTTGTGTGACTGTGTGTATGTAATTGGGTGTTCCCTGGTGGCGGCTCTGGGTCTGCAACCTTCAGAGGACTGAATACAAGGGCTGTGTGTTGTTTGTGTGTTTTGGGGAAGAGGAAATGGTTTGGGCTGTAAAAGGGTGCGGCTAAATTGATGTACTTTTTCCCATTCATCATTTTCTAAAGCAAAAATTTTTATTTCCAATTACTTGAGCTGCATTTTTAGACCTGAAGAGCTTGTGTCCCAACTAGAGGAGAGATTTCTGCAGAATGTTTTTACTGAACCCAACACAAGTCTGGAAAAATAAGGGACAAAATCTGGACACACTTCAGAGAATGTGATATTTTCCAATGCATGTTATACCCCAGGGAGAATTGAAGGAAGAAGTAGAATCCAAGGAAATCTCTCTAAAAAATTAAAAAGGAACAAGGTTGAAAACCAATATTTAAAGCCTGTTATCTTCAAGTCATCAGCCAGCACTGCATTGCAAACAGCCGTATAAATCACTGTGTGGACTCCAGAATTCTTCCTAAACCTATCATGAGTGAACACAGTTTGTCACAGGGTCCATAATTGCCTATTAAATAAATTAAAGGTTCACCTAAGAAAAGTGGGAAAACTTGAACCCATACCCTGGGTTTAAGAGTAGATGGCCATATAGTTTCTCAGTAGATGGTTCAAAAGCCTCTATCCATAATGGTACTACATGGGAGATGCAACAAGGCATGGCTGTCTTATTCATCTATAAAGGCCCCATAAATGCTAATGTATACAAGTTTTGTAGCAGCATATGCCACCATCCATATGATGTCTTTCCTATTTCAGCAGGGCAACATTCAGTTCATGTTACAACAGCACTGGTCTATGGAGGGAAGAAACCCTGGTGCTAAACTGGACTATGTTTTCTTATTGAGTAAAAATCGTAAAACAATTCCCCTCAATTCCCAAAAGGTTGAGTGTGGTTATAAAGGTACTCACTGTAAACTCATAAGTTCAAAACGATTACAGCCTCACCAAAATGTAATGCATCCCTCACTCATTATGAGCCAACCAGCTGACACACAGATGGATATGTATAAGTAGCTGCTCTCCTCATTTGTGCAAACGGATAGTAAAGGTCAAGTTACTAACTTAGTTCCAAAAATACAACTATATGTGATTAGCTGTCTATCAAATTGTTACCGGGGGCACCTCTAAATGGATTTCCTAAACATTTTGGTGCTTTACTCTAGAGATAAGTTTTTGTTCTCATGTTCATACCTATAGTAAGTTTAGAATCACGTTTAACATCTTGATCCATACTCAATAATCCAGTTAAAGTAAATCCCAGAAAGATGATTGTGTTCATCATTCTATTTTGATTGTTATGCAACTGTACTGTTTATAAGGTTGGAGAAACCTGCAGGGAGCTGAGACTGAAGAAGTCAGTGATGAAACATTCTCCCACGGTGCCTCCAGATGAACAGAATCAACTTTCTGGGAATCACCAGTTAACAAAACTTGTATATTTAAACACAAACTTCACACAGAACAGGAAGTTTTAACCCAGAACTTCGTAGAGTAAGGCAGCAGTACTAACCACACCTATCTTGTCTAATTTACTTTTTTTTAAATTTGTGTTACGGTGGTGGCTATATTAACACAGTCTCATAAAGCATTGTCTTCTAGTCATTAAAAAAACCCAATTTTAAATCAAATTCAGAAATACAGTTAGCAATAGTTCCTTTTAAAAGAAGTAGTAAGGACATTGGTAAGCATACCCCAGCTTTTCATTTAACAGGTATTAAATTTAAAATGAACAGATCTTCTTTAAAAACATTTATAAATTTTTATTTAATAGCACTCATTGTTAGTGAAAAATAAATAATGCATTGAATTTTTGTGACTTTCTTGGATTGTATGAATGGGATTCTACTTAAAGCAGGTCTCTGCTTCTAATACAAGGACCCCACAACTATTATGGCCCATCAGGATTGTCTCGATCTCTCTCCAGAAGGCTGGTTTAGAAGCTGTGACATTTTCCCCCATCTTTCTGCTTGAACTTGTAGAACACTGGGAAAGTTCACTGTGTTTAAACTGTCATCTGGCTTTATGTCTGGCTCTGCTCAGTGGGAGCCCAGGACGTCAAAGAGATACCCTACCACTTCAAAGTATAGCACATAACTTTTGCTAATTGTTTTGTTTTCTTCCCCTCCCTGCCTCTTTCTCCATAGCAGGGTGTGTCTGGACCTCAGTGCTCTAACCCAGCCATGAGCATCATCGGGGCTGAGGATGAGGATTTTGAAAACGATCTGAATGAGGTGAGTGCAGAAAACAGTGGCACATGAAGGACTGAATGTTACTTGATCATCATATCTCAGATAAGTTATTCCATCTCCTTTTACACCTATTTATTTTTGTCTGTCTCAGTACGTGGAAGACCGGTCCAACACCTTTAACCACATAGAGCAGTTGAAGAGTCGGCCGACCCACCTGCTGGTTTTCCTGCAACATGTCATTCTGCAGTTTGACCCTGCTCCCCTGGTGAGAACTCACATTATGCAAGGTCCACTACAGCCAACAAGCTATATGAAACTGAGATAACACAAGCTTCCACAGAGCAGCTGCTGTTAACAGATATTTTTACAAAGTTAGTGACGATAATGATGAGTAACTCTAAATGCAGAGTTAGTATATCACCTTTTAGATATGATCTAATCATGAAATCCAAATCATAATAGTCATCAGTTTCTGTCTGGCTTGTGTGAAACACATGAAACAGCTATTTTGATGTCCACTGTACCTCAGTGTGGATTAAGACTGTTTTACCTATGAGTCCAATTTTACTTTTCAGAGTTAATATTTGGATTTAGGATAAAGGTTAGAATTAGTTGTTGGTTGGGGTTAAATTGGAGACCATGGAATGCATAATACCGATGAGTAACCCCCATGGGAATAGAGAAAAAGGTTTGTTTGAGTGTGTATGTCAGTGCTGATCAAAGGCATGCCTGTCCTTTTCCCTTTATTCTGCATGCAGAGAACATGACCCACCCAGGTACTGTTACACGTTTCACACCCATGATGTGCTCCATCACCCCCCTGCTTTTCCCTCATGTTTGTCACGACTTGAGTCGTGTAGTCTGTTAACAAAATATTTGTAATTCTGCAGCATTTAAGAAAATGTGGTTTGCATCAGTGGTTGCGTGCTCAATTTGCTTTGGGGTTATAGTGCGTCCACTAGACAAATGCAGGTTGGGCTATGTGCATGATAATCTCTGGAGGGGACAATAACTACTTTATGGGATACTGTCATTAGGATTCAACTATTAAATTGATGTCAGTCATTTTGTGTTAGACATGTAAGCACACTGAGTCAAACTGAAGTTAGGTTTTTATGTCTGGCATGCCTTTATGTGATGTAGGTGTTTGTGATCTTTAGTGGTCATGTCAAATAAAATTGTGACAGCTGTGGTCATAAATTGGCACAAGTAGTTATTTTAAAAGATTTTGGAGCTATTCAGTACTAAATAAAATTGTCTTTTTCCCAATTGTCAGCTCTGTTACCTCCATGCTGAGCTCTTCAAAAACCTCAGTGCCAAAGAGACCAAAAAGCAGTTTGGGGATTTTTACACAACCTTCTTGGACAAGGGTGCAGTAAGTAGCAGACTACTCAACATTTCTGTCTTTTTTAAAGCCGTCTCGATTATCAAAAATTGGCCCAAATGTTTATACCTTTCATAGCCAAAATAGAGATAAAGATGTAAAGCTTGAAACATTAAATTTATTGCAGACTTCATGCAAAAAACAAAAGCAAAAAAAAAAACGCAGAACAATTCAGTACAGAGAGGGAATGAAGTCACTCTGATAATTAAATACAAAGTATTTTATACTCTTTATACTCTTTATCTTATCTGTCCTTATTTACCTTTTGCTGTAAATGGAGTTATAATTGCACTGTAAAAAAATTGATAACCACTAAAATGATTTCTTCCCTCAGATTCTTTTGGCTCAAGTTCTGCTTGCATGATTTGAAATATACCCATAATAACAGACTGTAGGGTTGGCTCCTTGTCTATGTATTTTTAGATCATTGATATTCTCTTAATTCTTAGGTTTAAACTTATCTTTGAGCTTCTTAACTTCAAGGTTAGTAAGACAAAAGTAGCCTTTGTATGATCAGTACAATATTGTGTTTTATTTTTCTAAAATTATGAATTTACTGAGCTGCTCAGCTCAATAAATAAGATGAACTTATGAGAGAGGAATCCATTGTTTTTGTTTGCTTTGTCTGTACAGTATCTGTCTTGCACACCTGGCCCACATTACTGTCCGTTATATTTGCTCCTCAGAGCTCATGCACTGTACATGTCTATCAGTTGAGTCAAACTCCCTGCCAGCCCGTACAGCCTCACAGCTTCCTGTCGAGATCGTGGGAAAGCCCTGTAGAAGGAATCATCTTCGCTCAGTCCCTCCTTTCAGGGTGGAAAAAGGAGGGACTGAAAAAAGGAGGTTAACCCTCTGTTAACCTATTGACGTAAAGTTGGCCCATGTGGTTATTTTCATGTCAATGACAGAGCTGACATGAGCACAGAGCATCCCCCTTTGGAGTATCTGTTTTTTCTCTTATCTATATTTCCTGTGTTAAAATGCCACCCTGTGGTGACATCTAGCTACTGCATCACAGTGTTTTACAAAACAAACTGAGAATCCATACTGTCAGTTAGTCTGAATGTTGTCTGAATCGTATCTCATTTTTCTATTTTTCACTCTGTATCTTTTTGTCATTTGCTTCACATTACAGGTTCTGAAAGTGGCAGTACCAGCTCACGTAAACTCTGAGTTGGGTAAGTTATTTTCCAGTGATGTTTATAGATATAAGTCAGTGCATTGTTGTTTTGTTTCTCTCTAGTTTTTGACTCACTCTTTCCTTTCTCTTTTCCGTCTTCTCCCTAAGATCGATCCCGTCTAGATGTGCTCACAGATGATATCCAAAAGCGCTTTGTTCAGGACATTCAGAGCGTCCAACTTGCTGAAGTGGCCAAACAGTTGGAGGATTTCAGGTGAGAACTCTACTCAGTCTTTACATACTTTACTAAATTGGCAAGAAGTTTATAAATGCACAACAAGCATCTCACAACATGATTAGAACATCCAGGGTTGGGATTAATGGCTGGTATGTGATCAGGAACATTCTTGAAACTTTGGTTAATTAATTTTTAAAAAATTACTACAATAATAATTACACTTTTTATTAATCTAAAGGTTGGTGTTGTTGGTGTTTCTCCTCACTAAAAAAAAGAAAGCTTCCGTTTGATGATCTGTCTTGTTATTGTCTTTGATACATTTTCAGTGAGTTACTTCAAAACAAGCTGAAAAATAATTTTCAAATTTTGGTCTCAAAAAGTTTATTTTGTTTGTTGTTGGAAATGAGAGTTAAAAGGTGTAACAACACTTATCTGGACACTGAGCTGCTTTAGATTACCATCTCAGTTCTTTTGCATTGTTAACCCAATAACTACAATTCTGCATTACTCAAGTAACTTGAAACAGTTTTTTAAAGTAATTAATTGGATTCAACTTCTAGGTCTAAAGCTATTTATGAATGTTAGTATTTGACAACATTCAACAGTTATGTGAACTTAACATTACTGTGCATATCCTGATTGTAGGTATGTAATTTATAAAATCTAGCCCTCCTCCATTTAGAATTGCAACAGTGACTAATACACATTAGTCACTAAAGGGAAGATTAATACAAAACTACCAGTGTTTACACATAAAGATTTCAATATGAAATCTTTATGTGTAAACACTACAAAAGGTTGTCTTGTCTTTCTCTATCCTATGTTAATGACACCTGTGCTTAGGTAAACAGAAATATGCAGGCCACTCTTTACCAAAATCCATATGAAGCACACTGATCTGACATTTGAGAGTAAGATGACAAAGGAAGGTTGAAGGTCATGGAGAAAAAATGAGTAGGTGATTCTATAATTTAATTTTTTGCCCATTTCTCAGTCCTAGATTTATGTGTACCTTTTTAATGAATTAGAAAAACATAATGAACTTTGCAAAAGTCTTGAACCACAAAAGTCTTGAACCACCCCTCATTTTTTATGTGCAAGCTTAAATTGAAATACGGAATATAAGGTAAAAACACAGTTTGAACAATTCAAAGAAACTTGAAAGTAAGTATTTGGTATGACCACATCTATCCTTCAGCACTGCGTAAACTTCTTTAGGCGACTTTCTTGTCATTTCTTTAAGTACTCTTCAGGAATGGTCCAAAGCTCTTCTTTGGATGCTATCTGCCTTTTGTTCACTTTTTCACCAAGATGAACTCACACTGCTTCAATGTTGTTTAGGTCTGACCTCTGGAGAGACCAGTCCATGACTGGTTCTATTGTATGTTTTTCTATCTGGGTGTACTTTTACTGCTTTAGCAGTGTGTTTGGGGATCACTGTGATGCTGACAAATGATGCTATTGCTACTCATACACTTACCAGTCGGTATTACATGGTGGATCAAAAGCTGACTGTGCTTTTCTGTTACTTTTGCACAACACTGTCTTCATTTTATCCTTTTAGTGTTAAAAGTTTGAGATGTTTTTGCTAAACTTGATTCTCTGCTCTTGCTCTGTGTTGCCTAGGCAAAAGAGGATGATGGGTATGACCCTCAGTGAGGCTGAGCTAAATGACGTGGACAGCCACTATCCCACCGACCGTGTCCCAACGGATATGAAGGAGAAGTCTGTTGCTGAGAACCTCCTAGAGAAGATGTCTGAGACACAGTGAGTTTTACTCCACTTTTCAACAAATATTTCAGGTATCCAGCCTCCACAAAGTGAAGTTCAAGTCATTTTCTGCATAGAGATTCTGCTGGATGTGCTTAAAATGCCAACGATTACTAATAATGGGTAACCACTTTACATATTACAATAATTTTTTGTTAGATGTTCTTGGGAGCTATTTTCTCTGCTATTACTTTCTGCTGTGCACATGAAGATGACTGATCTGTTGGCTAAAGCTGGTAGTTTTATATTAATCTTCCCTTATCTTGCTTCTAAACTTCCTTAAAAGGAAAGCGTTAGCATTAGTCGTGCACAAATCCATTTCCAAACAGCTTATAAAGCAGGTAATTGATGAAATTAAGATGACAAGGGACTTGTGATTGAAACACAACAAAACAGAGCCAGAAAGACATGAGGAAGCGGAGAAGAAAAATGGAGTCAGTAGTGCCACGCTGGCAGGAAGGCTCTCCCCTGGCATTTTGCCAACTGAAGGAGGGCTGGTAGTGGGAGGTGGAGGGGGTAAGACAGCAGAAGAGACAAAGGAAAAGAAAGGGCCAGAGGGTTATCGATGCTGGATAGCTCCTGCCCTGAACACAGTTAAAGAAAGAAAGTAAGAGATCTAGGGGAAAGTTAATCTATCCTTGACCCCGTGGCAAACCACAATGTGTTATCCTCTACAAGAAATGAGTCAGACAGAGAGGGAGACGAGGCCAGGGAAAGGGGCAGAAGACTGTCTAACTTCATCTTGTCAAAGAGAGAAAAAAAAGATCAGCAGAAATGAAAAGAGGTGCACTGTGCACAAGCAGCACTCATCCTGTGAATATAACCACGATGAGAGTGGAGGAGACACAAAAAGCCTGCAAAGGAGTCTCTATCAAAGACGTGATAATTCAGTTTTGACTCACTCAATTACTATCACACAGTTGGATCTTTATCTCCAGTGCACAAACGAATCATTCAGCCTCACTCCATTCAGTCCTGCTCGCTATTCCTCTCCGGCACTCCCACACTCAGTCACCCCTCTGCACTCACACGCACACACCTCCCTCCATTCTTGACCACAACACAGTGACCTCACCCCATCTGTTTCTTATTGGTCTCTTTGATGAAGCGAACAAGGCAACCAGTCGATGTGATTGGATTATGCAAGGAAATCCCGAGGAAACCCCTCCCATCCTTTATGTTCATCTCAAAACATCAGTATCCAATTTTCACAGTCTTGCCTGCATGTTGCATCAGACAAACATGGTTAAATAGACATTTCCGCTGCGCTGGAGCACTTCTGATTTTGCTTTGCAGGCGGCTGACTGAAGAGACAAAGCAGGGCAGAGAATTTTTGATACTGAGGACAGCAGTTTGGTTTTTCTTTTGCAAATCGCCAAGTGTGCAGATTGAGTTTAAAATTTCTGGAACAGGCAGAAGAGTAGCTTTTGAAGCATCTTTTGCACTTTTAATCTTTTTTTTTGTTTTAGATTTTTAGTTTTTCTTTCCTTTTTTGGTGGATTCTTAGAATATGATCAATAGCTGCAGCTCTGACCCCAACAGCATAACAATCAGTTTTGAGTTGTATCAAGAAAAGCTTAATCACTTCAGATTCCACAGGCCTAAAACAGAGTTCATAGTTAGTCGAGCAAGAGAAAGAAAAAATGTTACTTAAAAGGAAGAGGTGAGTTAGATGCAGCATCAGAATTACTTTTGTTGTTTGTTTCTTTGTTTTGTTTTTTCTGTCTACAATAGTGACATCGCTGACACTTGTCTCTGTTCTTTCAGATCAACAGGTGCCTTTGATGAGGATAAATGGTGAGTCAATGGTGTTGTTGTGTATATATATTTTTTCTTCTTTGTGTAGCAGCTTTGACCTCTGCAAGCCTGGGTGTGGTCCGGCCAAACATTTGGCATACTGTTTCAAAATGTATGTTGCTGTAGAAGTATGTTAGAAAATCCAATCCAAAAATATATATTTTTTCTGTATTGTCACTGCACTCGTTTTTATTCTATTTGCATTAAATTTTTCTTTTAATGTCCTTATTAGACAATATATTCTCTTAGTGCATATATTTGACTAACCTTGTCATGCATGCCTTAGTGTCTTTAGGCTACTCTCTGAGGACTCCTCGTCCTCTTCAGTTCAAATTCTTTATTGTACGCCTTGTACTCAGGCGGCAGACTCTGAGAAACTGTGCAGTGTCTGGTAATGTGATGCACTTTTGTTCTATGCACATCCCCAGTGTCTCCTCCCTTTCCTAGCTCCTTTAATATCTCCTCAGCTCTTTGTGTCTCTTCTTTTTCCCTTCCCACTCTTCTGAGCTCCTCCTCTCATGCTCCTCCTCTGGACATCTGCAATTCTCCAACTCCCTCTTTCCTTCTAGTCTTTCATAAAGTTCGTCCTTTTTTTTTTTTTTTTTTTTTTTTTTTTAAAACCAAGTGTCTCAACTGTATTACTTGGAGATAGAATAAGCACACTGGTATTTTTGCTGCCATTAATGTGAGGACACATGCGTCTGTAGGGACTTTAAATATAAAATATATATATAAATATATATATAGATAGATAGATAGATATATTAGATATATAGATAGATATATTAGATATATAGATATATATATAGAGATATATAGATAGATATATATATAGATATATAGATATATATAGATATATATAGATATATAGATATATATAGATATATATAGATATATAGATATATAGATATATATATAGATATATATTCTGGGAATTTAAGCAAGTTCATTTGTTTAAAAACTATATATTATTATTAACACAAGTTTCTTGTTTCTCCACTAGCCAAACCATCTTTAATGCTGTGGTCTTGTACATGAAACACCTCGGGGTTAAAAACAAGGCAGCTGACAGTAAGAAGTCCAAAGGAGGTTTCTTCACTAGAAAGACTAAGGTAAGGTAAACTGACAGCATTGGTATCCTATTAGAAAGCTAAATAAATGCATCAACAATCAGAACAGTGCAAGGCAATTATTGGCCTGCAGTGTTCTTCTTAAACCATTTTGTAGTTGAATTTGTATTTTTTCAGCCTTTTGATCTTATTTTAATTTTACCTTATTTTTTAATTTCCTACCTGGTGATATTGCAGCCCAAGAGTAAGGATGATATCCCAAAGGCCAAAAGCTCAAGAGTGTTTCCTGTTTTACCAAACTGGATGGGTGTGTATAAATTTTTTTATTTTTCCTGTGTTATAATTAATATACTAAACTATATAATATACTGACTTTTAAAATTTGCTAAGTGATGTTGATGAATAATGTGGATATGAAAATATTTTGTCCTACCCTTCTTTCCAGTTACAGTTGAGTCCAAAATTAAAGTGGATGAAGGTAGTCACTGTTCAGAATCCTCCCCTTCTGCTTTTTAACTTGTAGATTGAGAATGGTACTAATTAACCCGCAAGCATGTGTGCATGTCCTGAATCAGTACAGCAAAGCATGTGGGTGGAGCATTGTTTAATTGATGTTGTGCATTGGAGTGGTTCTTTACAAATATTATACTAGCACTGAGTCTTTAAACACTGAAAATGTCATAAGTTTTCATAAATATTTTCTAATCTAAATGGTTGTTCCTCAACTCTTAGACCTTGTTGGCTAAAATCACTTGTGTGGCCCCCTAACCCATACCCATCCAAATCTCGTAGTTGATGACTTTGCACTTTAACTCAGGATTCCCCATTTGTTTTGTGTCTTGCAGAGACTTGCATTAATCTAAAAAACATTGTTGATATACTTTTTGTTTCAAACCAGTCCTTTTGTTAGCTGCAGAAGTCCTGTCTGTCTGACTTACAAAATCTGCTGTGTGCTGTTTTTTGTTTGTTTGTTTGTTGTTAAGTGAATGAGGTTCTTTGTGGTCATGGTTTTTTGTTTGTTTGGGTTTTTTTTCTTCGTCCTCTCAAGCAGACAGGGATAGAGGGTCAGTCGATCGCAAAGGTCCTGGTGCTAAAACCACCCCGAATGACTCTGGAGTTCCCACTATATCGTTGAACAAGAAGCAGAGTCTAGTCCCTCCTGTGCAACCTGCGGTAGATGTTGATTCCCCAAGCAACAACGCCACCAGCACGACTACCATAGAGGCACACAGTGATGGTAAGGTTGCTCATTGATACTGATGAATGAGATACACCACAGTTGTTTTGGTGTCCTTGTTTAGTATTTTATTGCACTGCCGCTGTCATGGTGTCATGACATGCTTTTTCAGGAGATTATTTGAAATGATGGTGAAACATTTATCTGGCCAGAAATAGTTTTCAGTTTAAAACTCTTTTCTAAAATGAAAACATGTTGTGATTTGGGCTAAATTCTAACATTCTCCTAAAAGTCGCACCCTGACAGTACTAATGTACACAAGATATAACACACAGGCATTTTATGGGCACATAAAAATTGTATCACTATTATATTATACCAGCCTTCAGAGTGATTTGATGTGTTCTTGTAAAATGATTTCCATTATTTCTTTTGCTTAAAACAGAAGGTCAATTTTATTTAACAGAAAAATGCTAAATTTAATTTTCAATTCTTCTAGCTGTCCCAAGCAATCGTTTAGAGCTTCCAACTCTGCAAGATGACTTGCCCTCTGGGCCTGCAGGTGGGCTGATCGAGCCCATCTCGCCCATCTCACCCAGTGACATCCCGCCTGAGGAGCCTGTGGAGAAAGAAAGGTGAGAAGGACGGAGATAGTAATAACAAGTATTGTCTAGGGAGTAAGATAATATCTGCAGTGTAATGAGTAAGAGATTATAAGCATTTCACAGATTTAGAGATTGTAATCAGATTATAATTAGACTTTATGGGAGACGAATGACCAGGGTAAAGTGGGGGAACAAAATGTGTTTGAATTGCTGAGGCTGGGGCGAGCATGGTAAAACTCCCCCAGCAGTCTGTCCCTGCTGTGTGCTAGCTTTTGTCATGCTGCCCATTGCTCGCTAGCTAACAGAGTCTTCAGTCTTGAGATGGACCCCGATCAGGTGAACCCAAATCCAGCCTTCTACTTCCAGCACTCTGCCTTTCCTTTCCTCATTCCCTCTCTCCTTTTTCTTCTCCATAATGGCACGTGTGCTCTTTCAAATATCTTCTGTGTTTTTTGTGTCTGCGTCCTTTGCATCTCTTGTTGATGTTTACAGCAGAGCTTTATTGCAGGTTTTGTCGCATATAGACATCCGCTGTGCAATTCTATCTTTTTTGGGGGGGATTGAGGTACATGTTGGCAATAAAAAGGCATATTTATCCATACTTGCATATTTGTGATCATAATAGTGCCATTGCATCAATATTGACTCTTTCTAAGTCACAGCCATTAGCCTTGTTAAGCCAAAGTAAAAGCTTTATAAGAATTTGAATATTGGCAAGTTGTTCTACTGCCAGGCTTGAGACAAAACTTAACACTATGTAATTACATTAATAGTCAAATATAGACACTACATTTAGTTCAGCGTTTTTAGTTCATTAGAGCTTTTTATTTTATGTGCTTTTCAAGGTGTCTCTGTCTGTTGCCATGGTCAGGGCCCGTCCTTTGTCCTGCTTGTCTCCACCGTATGTGGTGTTAAATGTTGTGCCAGGGGCTTTGGCATCGTTTTTGGCATGCTATTCTGACAGAGGTTTTAAAATTAGTTTAGGATAGTATGGAGGGATGTGCTTTTTGAACGTTATGGTTGTCACTGTGGCTTGCAATAGTTGTGTAAAGGCGAGTGTGTAACAATGTGGTGTCCCGTGTTTTTGCAGACGGAAGACAAGGTGGGTGTCAGCGCCTTGACAGAGTCATGGACATGCTTCAGGCCTTATACTGATCGCATATCACACAAACACAGAACACAACACTCACATGCACATGCTCACATTGAGCTTCACAGTGCTTTGCAGATACGTAACATAAACATGGTGAAACATTTTTAACCTGCTTGTGAAAGAATTAGCTGATTGTTGAGATTAGCTGGATTTTTTGTTGTGTGAAACTGGAGAACTGCTGAGATAGCTTAAAGTTGCAAAACTGGAAACTTGTACAGTATAGTCCACAAAGTACAAGCAATGCCTGGCTAGTTTAACATACCTTTTGTAGATTGGCAGTTTAATGCAGTGTATGAAATATACTTTTACTATCTAAACATATGCATGTCATATCATGCATATTTGCTTGTTATCCATTTTCTTTTTCTCTACCTTTTGCTGATATGATTTATATTTTTGTGTAAATTCTCTATTGATTTATCTCATCCTCTTTATCATCCTAATTACCCATCTTCATATGTACATCTGCTACGTACATCTGCTGTCTTTTCCTTCTACTATGTTTTCTGTTTTTTCTTTTTATTCTCTGGCCTCCCTTTTCCTCTTAAAATCCACACATTTTCCTCTTTTCTTCCTGCTGCTTTCTTTTGTTTCCACCTGTCATTTCTCTTTATTCTGTCTCAAACTGACTCCTTCCTCCCACATCCTTTCCCAACTTCAACCCCTTCAGTAGGAAAGTGGCACGCAGTGAAAGTGCCCGAGTGGACCGACAGTCATCACGGCGGCGTGGCTCTTCTCGGGCCAAACAGTCTCGCTCCCGTAGCGATGTGGACCTGCAGCCACCCTCTTCCACGACAACAACACCTGCCCCGCTCACCCCCCAACACCTCCATCCGTAAGATGGGCAAACCTTCTCTTAATGCCTCTCTTCCTCGTGAGGTGCACAGCAGGGACAGACAGGATGTCAAGTTGAAGTAGGAACAGTGCTGCAGTCCTGAAATAATCAGGAAGCACTTTAAAAATAAAAAATAATTTTGAAGGCTTAAAGCCACCTGGCTCACCACTGTAAAGATCACTTAGGAGGCATATCTGTTAATATCTGTTAAATATTCATGGAAAATAGTGCTAATTGTGTGGATGAGTGGAAATTATTTAAAAAGGCACATTTCTGTTTTCTCCTGTTGAAATTGATCACTCTGGCACTGTTACTGACTAACAGTTGCCTGACACATTGGCTGCTTTCTAATAGTTGACCTGTGCTGTGAGCATCGGGGAGTGAAGCATTTAAACAGCACTCTCTTTTACAATGATAACGAGGTTCTTTAGGGGAACGAGGTCGGTCAATATTGACCGTTTGATAAACATTAAGTGCCCTTTTATTAGCTTAACTTGCTGTTTTCGAATGTAAAGAATTTTGCAGTTTCTTCTTTGATTATATTTTTATACAGTAATAGGAAATGGTGCGTTTTTCAAAGTTTAGATTTAATCTCAATTATTCTTGAATCACTTTAAAGCCAAAAAAATCTCGGTTTTATCTGAGCCATTGCCTGTTATTTATTGGTGAATTATCACAAGCTACTGAAATCGTGTTATTCTCAGTGAACATTTACTACCTAGATTATCTAATGTTAACATGTCCCTGATATGCATTTAGAAAGACCAGCTGTTTCACAACTACTTTTGTTCCACAGCCAACAGCCTCCAGCTGTGCTGCCAGAAAGAGTCACATAATTTGATAACTGACTGGTCGCATTTCGTCTAAGCTGTAGTTCTTGTTCTGAAGTAATCCCTCTCGCCCCACATTCATTCTTCAGCCCAGAAGGACTAAGTTTTGCCCCAGACCCTGGCCACTCCCCCACCAGCCCTTTCCCGCAGGTGGAGGAGGTGGATCCGCGGCTGCAGGAGTTTGAGTCTGATCCACCCAACTGGAGGGAGCTGGCCTCTCCTGAGGCTCTGTCCAAACTGACCAAGAAGGAGACCAAAATGCAAGAAGTCATAAATGGTAATTAGAGAGAGACAAACAGTTGATGAGACGATAGAGGAGTTTGTTATATAGACTATATTTAAATTTCCTATTAATCACTCATACTTTTACTACTGTCTTTCCTCTCAGAGTTGTTTACAACAGAGCACGCACATGTGCGAATGCTGAGTGTCCTTCAGGTGATCTTTGTCAGACCATTGGAGAGAGAGGAGCTTCTGACCTCAACTGAGTTGGCCGCCGTCTTCCCCAACCTTGATGAGATCACTGAAATGCACAGTAAGGGCTGCTGCAAAGAAGCATTTGTAAACACAGCCAGACAGCTGAATATAGCACCCTTCCTTCAACGAATATGCCATTATGCAAATAACACTCTTCCTTACTCATTAGTGAAATCACTAACTGCATGTACTACCTGCAATTGAGGGCACTGTCGTTAAAAAAGCATGATGCTAAATTTGTTCTGGCCAATAGTACCAAGTGTAGATACAAGACGAATGCATAGTGCTGCCTGAATTGCCAACACAGTGTTAGGAAAGAGAATATGTTCACTATCTACTTATAAGTCAGTTGTCTTTTTCTAACTTTCAATTTCAGGTAACTTCTATGAGAGCCTTAAGAAACAGCGTTTGGATAACAACTTCATAGTTAAATCCATCAGCACCACAGTGCTCAACAGAGTGAGTCGTCACAGTCTTTCACTTCATTTCATCATACAATATTTCTCTTTTCTCTCTGTGCATATTGTACAAAGTCAGTATGTGCCAACAAGTTCATTTTACACAATATTACTGTAAAAATGCAACAAGGATTTTGGCCTTTTCTGCACTTCTCGAGTTTGACTCACTTCATTATTATGATTTTTTTTTTTCCAACTAGCCACAACACAATCTTTGATTGTAATGTTTGTGTGTGCACGTGTGTTTCAGTTTGGTGGTACAGAGGGGGAGTGGTTCCAGAAACTGACAGCAAGGTTCTGCAGCCACCAGTCATGGGCCCTGGACCAGATCAAGACCAGGCAGAAGCGAGATCCACGCTTCAACATTTTCATACAGGTACCACATACACACAAACATATCCCCCAAGATTGAACAGACACATACATGGACGCACTTTGCAGATGCAAAGTAATGCAAAATGTGACAAAGGTGTTCTAGTCTGACTGTGTGTGTGTGTGTGTGTGTGTGTGTGTGTGTGTGTGTGTGTGTGTGTGTGTGTGTGTGTGTGTGTGTGTGTGTCTGTCTGTCTCAGGAGGCGGAGAGTAAGCCCCAGTGCCGTAGGCTGCAGCTCAAGGACATCATTCCCATAGAGATGCAGAGGCTGACCAAGTACCCACTGCTGCTGGAGAATATCGCAAAGAACACAGGTGTGTGTCTGTATGTGTCCCTGGCCTGTTTGTTGCTCACTTTCATGTGTCAGTATATGTGCATCGATATTGTAAAACTTATTGCATTCTTACTTTCTTTACATTCTTACTTTTTACATTTATTCTTTCCTGATATATAAGATAGTCAAATGCATTTTTATTACACTGTGTATCATCATATTACTCAGCTATATAATGCTGTATATCTGGGTTTGAAAATGTAATCGGAAGTACCACCATCACCAATGATTATGATAGATGTTTGTGGTGTGATACATGAACGTGCACGTGCATGATCCATAAGAATTTCCCTCCTGCTCAGAATCTCTTTCTCTCTCACTTGCTTTATATAATGCTCTGTTTGTTATATACATAACAAGCCAAGGAAGAGAATGGTGAAGGAAGGTGGTTTAAATGACTTTGAATCTGGCATGATTTTTGGTGCCAGATGAGGTTGTCTGAGCATTTCAGAAACTGCTGCTCTACTGTGATTTTCCTGCCCAGCCATCTCTTGGGTTTACAGACTGGTCCAAAAAAGAGAGAAATATTCATTGAGTGGTTGTTCTCTAAGCAAAAATGCCTGGTTGACGCCAGATAGGGCTGTTCGATATAACGATATATATCGGATGACGATGTAAAAACGTCTATTGTTTCATTTTACGCTATCGTTTGTTTCGTGGTGTCGCAAAATAAACTGTTTACGGCAATATTTTTTCGGTTGATCTGATATCCTCGTGTTGGTGTTGTTCCCAGACCATCATGAAAATGTTGTTCCAGGATCAACATTGCAAGTGACCAATCAGAATGATGGTCTGGGAACAACACCAACACGAGGATATCAGATCATCCCTCTCTTTCATCGTTTTGATGGTCACTGTAGTGGCTATATTAATTTCTTGAAGTTCTCTCTTTCTCTTATATTTAATATAACCACACTACGGACGGGCAAGCGCCTGTTTTTATGCGTTGTGGTTAGCAACAACAACAGTAACACCATGTTTCACATAAACCTTTCACAATAAAGCTCAAGATCCTGTTGAGACTTTTCAAAATAAACCGAATCACGTGAAAGACCAGATTATTTACGGATGAGAAATAAAAAAGAGCAGCCAGGTGCTAAAAAATAAACCTTAGACTCAAATGTTAGAACAGGCTTTTCCCCGCAGCACGCTGTGTATTAAATACTCACAAAGGAAACGGCAGTCGTTACAACTTATGACTAAAAATGTATCGTTTCATGCATCGGTTAAAACACTCGACTCCAGCTACATGACGCGCAGCTGGAAACACTTCCCGCAAGTCGAGCTGCCCGAGATTCACAGAATTTACAGTTTACATTTTTGTAATTTATATCGTTATCGGGACGATAGAATTCCTATATCGGGATATGAGATTTTGGTCATATCGCACAGCCCTAACACCCAGAGGTCATTGGAGAACGGCCAGACTGCTGTAAGCTGATAGAAAAGTAGCCAAAATAATCATTTTACGATCAAGATATGCAAAAGAGCATCTCTGAATGCACAACTCAAGAGTATTTACAGCAACTTGTTAAATCTGTGACACAGAGAATTAAAAATGCATAGAACTGTGATGTTCTTTAAGGGACATTAAAGTAAAATAAACATATCTTGAGAATTTACAGCCTAAAGAGGTTTCAGCAGGATTCCTGTCTTCCTTCGTTTGAAGGATCAGCACAGAGTTCTATTGCAGTAAATCTTTTATATTCTTCAATGCCTCCATCAAAACAACTCACTGAAATAGGCAGCACCCTGATTGGGTGCCCCCAAGAGTATCGTAGAGTATCCCCAAAAGCTAAGGAAGAAAGCCAGAGTTAACAAAGAAAGTTACTAATTGCCCTTATGATAGCTGTCATCTCTTGCTTCAAAGTATATCCCCCTTCTGCAGGTGTTGATGTATGAACTATAACATAACACTTCTTGAGTACTTTGACTCTGTGACCAGAAAGTTGGTACCACGAGGAGGACCAATGGAAAGTTTTGGTGTGGGTTTTTTTTTTGTTTGTTTGTTTGTTGGTTTTTTGTTTGTGTTTTGTTACACTCTTGATTTATGGCTTTTGTCTGGGCTTTGCTGTTAAAGACATATTTTTCTCATCTCTGTATTTCTCTCTAACTGCAGAGGATCTAACGGAGAAGGCAGCAATTGAGAAGAGTGCAGAGTGTTGCAGAAAGATCCTCAACCACGTCAATGAGGAAGTCAAAGTGATGGAAAACCTGTTGGTAAGAAATGCTCAATTCATCACTCAGCCAACAGCTGCGTGGTAACTTGGCACCAATTGAAGTTTTGTAAATGAATTTTGAGACTTCTTTAGCTCACTGCTTATAAGAGTACATCTTTTTCTGTGCTATGTTATCAAACAGACCACAGTCTGACTCACAATCATTCTCTCTGCTCCCAGACTCTGAGGGAATACCAGCGCAAATTAGACACATCAGGACTAAAACCCAGTAATGAGCTCTATAGTGAATATAGGGTGGGTTTCTTTCAACTAAACTTGTCTTTTGCACACAGTGTTGCAATATTCCTTTTTTTTTCCTCCAAGATTTTGTTGAAACATATTCATGTTATTCTCCTCCTGTCTGTACTAGAACATTGACTTGACTCAGAAGAAGATGCTTTATGAAGGCCCACTGATATGGAAAGTCACCAAAGAAAAGGCCGTTGGTAAATATGTGCTATATTACAGGCCTTTCTTTCACAGCAACAAGGTCAAACATTTCAATATATTGCAAAGTAATACTTTTCACACTTAAACTAAAAAAGATTTTTAAAAGGAAGAAAAGATTTTGTAGAACGTCATACAGATTTTATGTCTTTCACTTCTCTTTTATGAACATCAAAATCGGCAAAAAAAACCCCAAAGAAACAGACTGACATAGGCTACGTTCACACTGCAGGTCTTAATACTCAATTCCGATTTTTTGATCAAATCCGATTTTTTTTGTCTGCTCGTTCACACTACAAATAAAATGCGACAGCAAACGCGCTCTAGTGTGAACGCTCAAAGCGGCCCGCATGCGCAAAAGAAGATGTCACACACAACGCGCTCTGTTTAGACCCAGAGCAACAGTATTGTTTGACTGATGGCCCTTAATATAAAGACTTCGGACTTCACGTTTCCCAATTTTTGCTTTAAGTTATTTTGTTATTTACATAATAATGTAAATAACCTAATAATGATCCTTATTGCTGTTTTAGAGGAGCGGTGCTTCAAAGGATAGCTGCAGATTTCTGTCAGAATCTGCAGATTATACAGTACAAATAAAATGTTTACGTTGTCTTCCCAACAGTTTCACTTACATCTACACTGGATGGCCAGGAAGCGTTCGCGATGTCTTCTCGGGCGCTTCTCTGGCGCTGATAATTGGCTTCAGTCTTGTGTCGGTGACGTAAAAGGCGGATTTAATGCGACTTGACCGTTCAAACAGCAGTCGCTTTCTGAAACATCGGATATGTATCGGATTCAGTACCACATATGAAAGTGACCCAGATCGGATTTGAAAATATCGGATTTGCGCCGTTCACACTGTCATAGCATGATCGGATATGGGTCGCATAGGGTCAAAAAAATCGGATTTGATGCGCTTTCGCCTGCAGTGTGAACGTAGCCTTAGTGATTTATTTACTTCCCCTTTAGCATTATTTCAGTTGAATTACCGAAATTTGGCAAGTTAATGAGAATCAAATAGGCAGCATAATGGTTGGCCTGTTGCCTCGCAGCAAGAAGGTCCCACTCTTTCTGTTCCCTGTCCTTCAGAGGTGCAATGTGTGTTGCTTGCGGACTTACTGGTGCTCCTCCAGAAGCAGGATGACAAGATGGTCGTCAAATGCCACAGTAAGAGTAACATCGCTGCACAGGACGGCAAGCTGATGCTGAGCCCAATTATTAAGCTGGACTCAGTCTTTCTCCGTGATGTGGCCACAGGTTAGCAGTGCACCACAGTACAGTAGTTTGCAAGTCACTCTAATCGTAAGATAAGTCTTTGAATTGCTGTTTTCTCCTGTTGTGTCAGATCGAAAGGCTTTCTACGTGATATTTACCTGGGAAAGCGGCGCTCAGATTTATGAACTAGTGGCTCAGTCTGTTGGAGAAGTAAAAATGTAAATACCAAAGAGAATTGTATTCATAAATCATGTTTCCTTTTGATTTCAAAGCGCAGGATAATTTTCCCCCCGTATTTCCATATTTTTAGTTGGACTCAAGTGATAAAGAAAGCAGTGGATGACCTGAAGAAGAGTGGCAGCACAACCAAGAAGTTGACGACGGTGGCTCCTGGAGTTGGAGTTGTAGGACCTCCCTTCAGTCCCATCAGGTAAGTGTGTGTGTGTGTGTGTGTGTGTGTGTGTGTGTGTGTGTGTGTGTGTGTGTGTGTGTGTGTTCCTGTCTAACTATCTTTGTGAAGACTGAAATGTGCATTCTACTATAAGATAAGATAAGATAACCTTTATTAGTCCCACACGTGGGAAATTTGTTTTGTCACAGCAGGAAGTGGACAGTGCAAAAGTTATGAGGCAAAAATTAGAATACAATAAGAATAAATACAGTACACAACTGTACAGAATAGAATAAAATAAATATACAATAAGATAAAAATAGAATACAAATACTATATACAACTGAGTAAAAATACAACGATGCCAGAAAAGATTATTGCACTTAGTATTATTGCATATGTATGGATGTGTGTGCTTGATCAGTTAAAGTCTTTATTATGGAGTCTGACAGCAGTGGGGAGGAAAGACCTGCGAAATCTCTCCGTCCCACACCGTGGGTGCCGCAGTCTCCCACTGAAGGAGCTGCTCAGTGCTGTCACAGTCTGCTGCATGGGGTGGGAGATGTTGTCCATCAGGGATGACAGCTTAGCCGCCGTTCTCCTGTCACTCACCACCTCCACTGGGTCCAGAGGGCATCCTAGAACAGAGCTGGCCCTTCGGATCACCCTGTTCAGTCTCTTCCTGTCCCCAGCAGAGATGCTGCCGCCCCAGCAGACCACGCCATAAAAGATAGCAGAAGCCACAACAGAGTCATAGAATTTCTTCAGGAGTGGGCCCTCCACTCCAAACGACCCGAGTCTTCGCAGCAGGTACAGCCTGCTCTGCCCTTTCCTGTAGAGGGCGTCTGAGTTATGAGTCCAGTCCAGTCTATTGTTCAGATGAACACCAAGGTACCTGTAGCTGTCCACAGCCTCAATGTCCATACCCTGGATGTTCAGTGGTTGCAGTGGAGAATGCTTGTGCCTGCGGAAGTCTACCACCAGTTCCTTGGTTTTACTGGCGTTGATCTGGAGGTAGTTCAGCTGGCACCAGTCCACAAAGTCTTGAGTCAGTCCTCTGTACTCCTTGTCGTCCCCATCAGTGATGAGGCTGACTATTGCAGAGTCATCAGAGAACTTCTGCAGGAAGCACTGGGTGGAATTGTGGGAGAAGTCTGCAGTGTAGATGGTGAAGAGGAACGGAGCCAGAACCGTTCCCTGTGGGGCCCCCGTACTGCAGACGACCCTGTCCGACACACAGCCCTGAGTCCTCACATACTGTGGTCGGTCGGTGAGGTAGTCCAGGATCCAGGTAGTGAGGTGATGGTCCACTCCAGAGTTCACCAGCTTGTCCTTCAGAACCGAGGGAAGAATAGTGTTGAAGGCACTGGAGAAATCAAAGAACATGATTCTCACAGTGCTTCCAGCGGTCTCCAGGTGAGCGAGGGAACGATGTAGGAGGTGAATACTTGTGAGAACCAACAGTCACTTGTGAGGACACACGCACCGGTCCGCACAAATTTGAAGGCCTTTTTGAGCCTCAAAATGCGGTTTTAGAGTCAGGGTTACAATTAGGTTATGGTTAGGTTTAGGGTCAGGGTTAGGCATTCATTTTTAATGGTTAGGGTAAGGGGCTAGGGAAACCATTATGTCAGTGAAGGTCCTCACTAAGATGGCTGAACGTGTGTGTGTGTGTGTGTGTGTGTGTGTGTGTGTGTGTGTGTGTGTGTGTGTGTGTGTGTGTGTGTGTGTGTGTGTGTGTGTGTGTGTGTGTTGGAAAAAGTGAGAGATATTCATATATTGCCAAAGTTTATTTATCAAAAAATCCAATTTCCTTGTTTTTACTTTTTTTTTCCTCCTTTCTTTTAGTCTGAATCCCCCTATGAGCCCGATTGAGAATGGAGCTTTGAAAAGCAGCAGTGGTGAGACCGTTGTGACTGCACACCTACAAATTTGCCATTGTTACACACTCATAAAGACATAAGCAAAATTTAAGACTTATCTCTGTCTGTAGATCAAGATAAGGACAACTTGAAAGATAAAAAGTCGACCGATCCCAGGCACAGGCTGATTGATTTCCTGTCTGACAAAGGGTTTGACTTGATAGGCCACACCAAAAATGATCAGGAGAAAGTGGCTAACAGTGCATTAGATGAAGGTGAATAGGGGTCTTCCTTGTACTTATATTCATGAACTATAAATGACTATATTTTTGGCTTTACTTTCTTTCAAAGTAGCTTACCTATCCTAATAAAGCCAATGAATCTGTCTCCTCTGTTAGTCATGTCCCTGAAAAGGCTCCTGGTCGGCAGCATCAGTCTATCAGAGGACTCACAACCTGATGAAGAACATGAAGTAGGGCAATCAAAAGGCCCTGGGCAAGATGTGGAACAGCATCAGTTAACAGGTTTGGCCTATTTTTTTGTCTTTCTTTTTTCTTTTCTTTTTTCTTATTTTTTTAAAGGAATAGTTTCATAGCGATAGATGAAGAGAAGCTTAATACCACTCATATCTGTAAGCTAAATAGAGCCATCTTAGCTTAGTCTTGGTAGTTTTATCTGTACAACTTCCCAGAATATTTTTTTTCTTAAGCAGTGACTTTCCAGAGTTGTTAACATTAGCGGATGCAGCAAGGCTAGCTGCTTCCTATCTCCTCTTGATGAATTGTTATTAAGCATTTAATGTTGAAACCTCTGGCATGTAGTTTCTTGTCCTTATTTTTCACCCTCAAAACCCCAGTGTTACCTGATTTATTTGTTTTTTTTAATTAGCGACTTTACACATGATTCTACACATTAATCAAAAGTATTAAAGTATTTCTAATATCACAATTTGATATCAGTATATCCATTTTAAAAGCAGGATTGCAAATCCCCTCGCGTTAAAGCAGGATTTCGTGTATGTGTGTACTATTCTATTTAATGCAGTATTACAAGGAACTTACAATGTCAAAGGATTTTTGCAGTGCTAATTATTAATGGCCAGAATTTATTATTATTTAAAGACTGCTGACTCTTGACACTTTCAAACTAAATATTTCTATCCACAGATGAAAGTCAGACCACGAACGAAGTAGCTGAGGAGACGAACCCCACGAGTACAGACAAAGAAGGTCAAAACCCAAAAGGAGACGATGAGAGCATCAGCGCGCCCCTGGTGCTGTCCCAGGAGAGGAAGGAGGAAGTGTGCAGGAGGCTACGCAGCCTGGAGGAACAACTAAAGAGACTACAGGTGAACAGAGGGGGAGATGGAGGGGAATATTGAGAGAAAACTGTAAGTAGGGAGCAGGACGTATGACAGGGGCAGATAGAAATGTCAGCTCTAACAAAAGATTGGAACTGACTAGAAAGAGACTCAAAGCTGGGCATCAAGATTTCAGTGGGGATAACTTGAGTAAGGAGTGAGCTGTGGACAAATGGGGCCAAATGGCACAAAAGAGAAACCAGAGAATAGAAAACCATTTAACTGCTGCTGTTATTGCTTTGCTGAAAATTGCCTTGTGAAATTGGACTTCTCTAAAAATGGCTATTATGTCCAGCACTTGCAATGGGATGTGTCAGAGAAGCAGTGAGGGAGACGAAGAGAGGATGTTAAGAGGAGAAGGTTGAATTGTGTGTGTGTGTTTGTGTGTTCTCAGTTCCTAAGGTTATATTGATTTTGTGTGTTGCAGACTGTAGAAGAGGAACACCACAAGCTGCAGGAGGCCCTTTCCAAGTTCTCACTGGAGGGGGGCAGCTTCTAGTGACCCACCTTAATGCCTCCTGCTGGCCATTAGGTGAGAACACTAAACTAGATAGTCATGTTAAGTATTGAATTGTCATTATGATTAATGGTATAGAGCCATTTCCACTCATGAATGGACAAGGTTAAAAGAATCGGGTTTAGCTTTTGGACAGCTTTTTATTTCACCCTGAAAAATATGTGCAGTGTTATAGTTAAGCTGTGTATATCTCAAGAAAAATCCATAAACAGGTTGGGGCAGCTTGTACGTGGCCTGAGAGGTGAAGCCCAAGGCAAAAACAAAAACCACTTACTGCTGGTAGTTGCAACTATTGGCCGTGAGCTAATGGCAACATTTGAAGGTGACTGATGACAGCAGCTGCATTTTTATGAGCTCTTCTCAAGCTGCATTTGCAGTTTTGTGACTGTAAAGTCTGAAGAATCAAAATGAGTCTACAAAAATACTAGATTTAAAAAAAACAAAAACAAAACAGGATTTATATTTAAAAAAAATGTTTGTTTTTTTGTTTGTTTTGTTTTCTGTGCAGGTTTTGACTGGTTCTGGTTTGGACTGAGTGACTTTCAGAGGCTTTCCTGGAAATTCCTATACCATCACACGTCTATGACCGGACCATCGATACATTTCTTTTTCTTCCCCTCTTGCGTGTGTGTGGGTGTGTATGTCAGCTGTTTGCAGCCAATCAGAAGTTTTATTTTCTTTTTTCTCCTTTTACCAATTGGCCATTTAGGGAAGGGCTTTGTGCACAGTGCAGTGGTTCAGTAATGGAACATGTGTATGTGCGCGTGCATGCTGGATAGAGGGCTATACAAAAAAGAAAAAAACAATCCTAAATTGGGGTTTGAGGATGCTGTTAGTGAGAGGTGCCAAAGGAAATGAAGCAATATTTTGCTGTTAGTGAGTTGCTGCCTAAGAAAATATAGTGATTTGAGTCTGCTGTAACACACATACGCAAACCAGAAACATGCATGATGGAAAATAATTTACAGTAATGCCAAATTCTAATGTACAGTAACAGAGAGAGCCTTAAATGGCCAATATAGCATTAGGTCTATTGAAATACTACTACTGATATATAGTGTTATTTCTAGTCTATGCCAAAGTAAAACAGAGATGCACTTTTAATCAAAACAAGATGAACGCACACAGTTATTGCTAAATTTGTTACTTTTAGCTCTGTATTCTGTATGGTTATTAAGGCACCCCTCATTATTGAAACGATGCATGCAAGAAAGTGTGTGTGTATGTGCGTTACAATTTTTTTAATTAAGGATATATTTCTTCAGATGATTCTTACTGTAATTAGGTCACATAAAAATCATTTATAAATAGTGGCAGTATAAGTAATCTTGGTGTTAATAGTGGAGATTTGTTTGTATGTACCGCTTTTATTTATTCCCTTGAGTCCTTGTGTGTCAGTGAGCTTCTTCACCTGAGTGAAGCTGATACAATGCCAGGCCAGAAACAAAAAGTGATGTGCAACTGTCGGACAGGACGGACAAAAACGAAGCTGGCGTGTGTGAAGCAGATCAGAGTGGAATAGAAAAGTGAAAGAACTGGGAACTGGTTTCAAGGGGGTTGCTTTTTAGAAACCTTTAACTTGATGGTCATGAGAGAGTAGAAAGTAGGAGATTGGGATTTGCGCCCCTATATTAAATAAATAAATATATATAGCGCTCAGTATTACTATGCTCATATCATTTCAGAAGTTTCAACTTACCTTTAGAGAGGGTTCCCAAATGCTCGTCCAAAACACTTTAGTTGGGGTTATACTTTTCAGACGTATTATGAGATCAGATTGATTTAGTATATTGCAAATTTGAGCTAAGGTGATATTTTATTGAGCGTTGACTATGGTAATATAATTTCTGATCTGTGGCGTAACTGGGGCTGTGCACACAGGACCAAAGAAGTAACAGCAAACCGCTAGATCCTCATTTGTACAACAGCTTTATTAGTGACGTGCATCATCTGTGTAGTAGTGTGTCACAAAATGTTGATGCGGGAATGGTGGCTCAGTAATGCAGTCTGGAATCAGCAGCCGCTTTTCTTCACCCCAAACACGAAGGGATTTTAAAAGCACATTGAATAATAAAAACACTTCTTTCTTTTTTTAAAGTTAATGTAAAGAAAATACCAAGATGAAAAACGTTAGATTATTTGGGATTAGTCATAAGACATGAACAATCTATAGGACTGGGAAGTTTAAAATTGAATGAAAAAGTTGCGCTATAGAGGATTAAGAGACGCACCGAACATGCCCCTGGTACTAAGCTGAACATATGGGGCTGATACTGACACAGCAGCAATACTGTAGCCAGATGAGGACACAAAGGAAATGCTGAAGGTCTGGAGGAAGGAAAACTGTAGACTCATTCCTACAGAAGCACGTCAGGAGCACTTCCTGACATCCATTCTTATTGTTGTTGTTGCCACAACAACAAATGCCACCTTTGAACCTACTGAACCTCACCGGGTTTGCTCATTTTGATCACTTAAGTGTTCATAGGCTTCAAAAACTATATATGATTCTAGCATCTCTCTCCACGTATTGTTCTTTGGAAGTGTATATAAATGTAGTTTGAAGGCAAAAAAAGACAAAGACAAAAAAATAATAGCTCCCCTCTGTGTCTTAAGCTCTTTTTTTTTTTTAGCTACACACTCTTCTTCATAACACACTCACACCTTTTAATTGCGTAATCACTTGTTTCTACTGCACAGTTTTATCCTACATTTTGTGTATTGAGTCACTTAAGTAGGTTGGGGAGGGAGTATTTTCCACAGAGGCTTTTGTAATTTTTTACTATGCATTTTCCACAATGGTGAGAGAGGCAGGACTTGCCTGTAACTTGTCTTTGCATTTTGATGATTGTGAATCAATTGAAAAAAAAATATTCAGTGCCAACCAGCTCTGTACTGTGGGTACTATACCTCAGGCTACCCACAGTGCTTTTTAAGAAAAATTCAATGTCAGTGGTAGACATTTGGAGTCCAACTACCACCAGCATCAGCTGATTCCTTCAGTCTCCACTGGCTCAACGACTACTACAGGCACTTCTCGCGCTCTCTCCTTTAAATGCTTTTCCTCATGTATTCCATATACAAAATGTATAGAAAACTTTATTTATAGAGTGGTGCCTTGTTCTAACGATCAAGTTGTTTGCTTCATAAAAGACTCTTTAGTTGAACACAATCACTGCTGTGTACCTCAATGAGAAACATGACTAGTAAGCAGAGAAAAATCATGACAGGATTCAGATTTTGGTGGTTTAAGGTTTGAGGGTTGTTTCTATATGTAGATTTAACTTGGGCTTCATCGCACTATTTTTGTGTCCATCTCTATCTCATAGTGAGGATGTAAGCCCTCTACCAACTCAGCCGACCAGTGCCCAGTATATTTAAAAAAACAAAATAGACATTGCTCCTTGCCATACTGGTGTTTGCCACCTTATCTATAAACATTGTATATGCAAGAACTATACTGTGTATTTGGGTTTGATTTTTATTGTGTAAGATGCTCTTTAATGATGTATACCTAAACAAATTTGTGGTACGTTCTATTTTTTAATTCTTTTTTTTTTTTTTTTTCAATAAACTGGGGAAATTTTTTTCTGTTTTCTTATTTACAGTTGGGAGAACATCATGACAATTGTTTAGGGTTCAACCATAGTTGGGCTTCACTCCATTTGTTTTGAAATATACAGTGCATATTTTAAAACACATGAATTATAGAATATCAGGATTCCATGTAAATCCCAGTCCTTTAAATTCTAAATATTTAATTGAAAAAATGATGTGTCAAATCTCAAAGCTGATAATATTAATCTGCAATATTCAGTTAAATAATTGTGCCCAGAAAGGTATTTAAAAGGTAAAGATAATGGCTTTATATGCAAGTAGCTATCTCTTTCTAAATGTTGAATTGCAAAGAATTTACAGGGGGTTTTTTAATAGACAGGGAACAAGGCTGAAAAATATTAAATGGATATTAAGGCAAAGCTGTTTGAAACAATAGATTTCTGTAGTGAAAGGCACTGCATTAGTTCAGGAACACAGTTCATGACACTGCATGCACCAATTAAACAAAGCTCCGCTATAAAACAAGAAAGGTAAACAAGATCCAGAAACTCTCCACCTATGGGTCTGACCTCATTTGAGACAAAGTGTTTGTTTTGTCTGATTAATCTAAATTTGACATTCTTTTAGTTTTGATGGGTGCACTCTGTAACAATCCAGCTATATCACTGGAAGGTTTGGATCAGCCATCAAACAGGACAAGAACAGACTACAAAGGACTGTGAGGTCTGCAAAAAAATAAAACACACCCTAGACATGACCTCTTCCAACTATTCCCCTCCAGTAGGTGCTATAACAAGCAGTGTCACTACTAGAATTTGGCAACACTGGGACCTTAAACAGGTTGCACAGGTATTCCAACTCCTCCAGGAAAGTACAGCAATATTTGCCATTGCCAGAAAGCTTCCAGTGTCTTCCAGTAATGGTCTTAAGAGCATAAAGGTTCCAAGAGACAGGCAGTTACTTTAAGAGAGCAGAAAAGGTACCTGCTCCTTTGTGCAAGGAGGAACAGCTGGAAAACTACAAAATGACCTTCAGCAGACTTCAGAGGGTGGCCGGAACATTGATGTCCTCTAGTGGGTCCTGTGCTCACTGGAGATGATATGTATTCATATCATTAGCAGGTAATGTAGATGTTTAAATGTTAGGGATTTAAATGTTAATCAGAGTGGTGATGAGTGGGAGGAACAACAGCATGGCTCCAAACTGAAATGGTCTCACCCAGTGGAAACACAAGACACTGAAAAGAAAAACGACTGACCAAGGCTCCGAACTGTTTAAAAGTAAGACTTTTACTTCAAAGCTCGAACAGTTTGTCTCCTGAGTTAATGCTTTCAGAAAGAAGAAGAAATGCAATACATTGTCCCTCTATCAACTGTTCCATTTCCACTTTTTATATTTGCAATTTTCAGTCAAGAGCAGCATTTAGTTGCTATTTGCATGTTTAACAGACTTTTTTTTTTCTTTTTTTTTTAAACAAAGTTCTATTTTTTTAAGCATTTGGATGCAGCACTTAAGCAAATGTGGGCTGGTGGAAATTTATTCAAGCATAAATCCTGCCACTGAAAAACAAGACACCAGTGTGATCTTGCAGAAGAGAAGACTGAAGCAGAGCTGTGTGTAGAATTTTTTTTTTAATCAGAATTTTATCCTTTTTTATTCCTAGATTGAATTTTGGCTTACAAAAATGGGGATGGTTGTAATATTTGTCCTCTCCAGCTTGGTGGGTGAGTCAGATTATATTTTTAATACCGTACATTCAAGTATTTGAACTTGTTTTATTTAGAAGTAATCATTGACATCATCCATTTATTATATATTTCAGTAATATCAGTTATGTTTTTGAAAGATTAATTATTTCAGCGTGTCATATTTCTACATATCGGTTCAGTATATATGTACTTATGTATTCATTTTTGTTTAACTCTTTTGAGTTCTGCTTCAGTGAACCACATTTCCTGTCAAAACAGATGGCTGTGCTATCATGATGACATTTTTGCTTCAGTCGTTCTGGTTACTTATGCTATACAATTATAGATCATTTGGCATTTTTAAAGCATATTTTAATACTTTGTCAGTTTTGAATATGGGTTGTGAAATTATATGCAGTCATCATTAAATAATCGGAGACCTCAATAACAAATCCTACAACATAACCTGTCTTAACATGCGCTTTCTTCAACAGTGGGTTTTGCTTGGGGTGAGCTGATTTTAGAACCAGACAGACCCTCACTGAGTGTGCCAGTCTCTGAAAATGCTTCACTGGAATGCTGCTATAAATCACCGTCGGGGAGAGTGAATGTCCACTGGATCCACTATTATAACAAAACTCAGCAGATGTTGTTAGATAAAACAGCTGAATCACAGAAAGATTCCAAATCTGAAAAAATATATTGTGCCCAACTGAACTTCCCTGAAGTAAAGCTGGAGAACCTTGGATTTTACCATTGTCTGCTGAATGATAGTGGCAACACATATTACACACATGGAACCTACCTGCGTGTCTACAGTGAGTGTGTGTGTGTGCATGTGTTGTTGTTGGGGCGGGGTGTCACTACTTCATAAACCATAAATCCTGTTCTTGTTAATCTGCCCAAAAGCTGTGAAAGTGGCAGCATCCACATATATTCAATTTATTTAATCTTTACATCTTCAGGATTGTTGCATTGCAGTATGCTGCACCATTCATTCACTTTAAATAGCACCAAATTTAGAATTAAATTTCAGTCAATGTGCAAAGGCATTAGTCACACTGAAAGGCCACTTCACACACTAATCTCATTAAAACCAGATGGTAGATGAGGAAACATAAAACTGCCAATCTGAGGGATTATGTGTGCGATAACCTGCATTGTTAACGTGACTTAACAGTACCACCAATTGTATGTTTAACTGTGATCCTTATGCTAAATTTAACCGTTATATAACAAAACTATCAGTGTCATAATAAATCTCCCAGTAAGGCTTTTGAGTAATTATTTTGTTAGCCTGCGTTTTCATGTGCAGGCTAACAAATACGCAGCATTCACGTGTTCACACTTAAAGCAGAAAAAGATAACTCGTGTTTAAAAACCAATACGTGCAACTGCTAATTTGTTTGTTTGACCTCTGAACCCTTTCTGCATTCCTAGAGCCAATGGAGAAGACCATAAACCTGAGAGAAACCACCAAAAACAAGATCCTGATAGCTGAGGGATTCTTACTGTTACTGTGTGTGATGCTGCCTTCTGCCATTCTTCTGTTCAAGGTCGTTGCATTATTATACAATGATCAGCAGCACTACTGTTGAAGCTATGCTTAATTTCAAGCATTTTCCCAAAAGAGCATTACTTTTACTTTATTATTCATGCATTTAAAAGTAATGGCAGAGCTGTGCGACTCTGGCATGGATTTGTTTTTCTTCCTTCTCCGTCAACAATGGGAATTTGCAACATTTGACTGATTTATTACTTTTGGTTTGCCCTACAGTCAAAGAAGCTTAATGAACTGGAGAAAAAGAAAGCAAAGAAAGAAGAGGAAAATATATATCAGGTCAACATTACATATTCTCAATCTCTTTCCATTACACAAGGCAAAGCAGGAAAGCAGGAGCTAAGAAATGAACACCATTTCTAGTTGTTGTTGATGTGTATATCTTTCACTGATAATAGCCTTTGCATGATTTCCTTTTTGCATTTTCTCAAAAACCAGGGGCTAAATCTGGATGACTGTTGTGCAACATACGATCAGATTGAACGCTCCCAAGCACAGGGCCCGTACCAGGATGTGGGCAACATTAAGGAAGAAGAGGAAGAAATCCAGCTGGAGAAACCATAAAACCAAGTGAATAACAGACAGTTACGAGTGTTACATGTAAATAGCAGGCTTCTTACAACACGCTCTGATTTCAGAGTTTTGTTCTCTGAAGTTTTTTATTTTTTAAGATTTTATCTGTATTTGTCAAAACAATCATAACACAATATCCACTGGTCTGCAACCAGGATTTTAGAAATACTTCCTTATCAACATATCAACTATAAACTTTTTTTCAGTTTTTTTATGATGTTTTTAAATATACTCCTTTACATTTTTAAATATATGTAGGTGTTTTGCTTTAGCTTTTTTATTCTAATTTTGCACACAGATTCCAGAAAAAAAATGACGGGTCAGACTGGTTACGTATGTACCCCAGGTTGCGTTGTCGGCTTTTTAAATATTCATTGACGTGCATCTGCTACAATTATGTGTTTTTTGCTATTTCTGTGAGTGCTGTAATAATAAAATAATATTTAAAAAATCCATCAAATCTCTCTGTAAATTGTCTGAGTAATACAATTGCCCTCTGTGTGCAGTGAATAGGATAGGATTGTTTCTTTTAGGGGGTTGCACAATAAAGAGAGTAGGGCGGCACTTACGAAATTTTGATTTGTCCTGATTGGTTACTAAACAGAAGTAGGTTTTCATTGGCTTACATTTCTTGCGCGGGCGTGGTCTCATGGCTTCTCAGGTAGAAATGTGAGAGGCGGTGCATAAACAGAGTGGGCGAATATGGCGTCCAGCAAGAAGGGTAGTGGGACTAGCAGACTGGAAAAAGGTGTGAATGGAAGGCGCTCGTCCAAACACAAAGAGGGTCCACTGGGTGAGGTTTTTATTTTATTTTTAATTTGGTGTACCTACTACGCTCCCTCTGTGGCTTGTCCCTTTAATAACACCCCCGCCCCCCAATTTGTACGCTGTGTCCTCCTGCTAACGTTCGTTAGCGGCTAAGTTAGCTGTCCTTTGGTAGCTGCCGCTAGGTCTGTTTTAGCAGTAAAAGTCTCGTGATTCTTGTATGACAGAAAGAGGCGCTGAGTTAACATGTGTGAGCTGTTGGTGAAATAATTGTCAAGACAAACTCTGACACTCTGTTGCTGGCATGTCTCTAGTTAGAGCATCCTTTAGACGTAGAAGCCGCCTGCACACTGTTAGTAGTCATTGTAACGTTAGCAGCTAGGTTATCTATGTAATAGACTTTAATTAACGGGACACATACTGTATGTAGCACGTGCTCGTAT